CTCTCTCTCTCTCTCTCTCTCTCTCTCTCTCTCTCTCCCCCCCTCCCTCTCTCTCTCTCTTTCTCTTTCTCTCGCTCTGTCTCTCTGTCCCTCTATTACTGTCCTCTCCCTCTCTCACGGAGAGCTCAGAGGGCTCGGATCTTAGATTAACTTCTGTCTCGGAAATTGCGCGTGCGCTCAGCGCGCAAGGGCGATAAGAGTCCCTTTCCTTTACGCGAGTTTCGAACTCGCGCACTAGAAGGAACGTGAGCGTTCTCGCGTGGCGGCCACAAGAGCCGAAGTTTTCGATCTCTGTAATACGAGACTATATAGGACTATAGGTCTATCAAGCTTTGAGAGAGCACGAGCGTAATTTACCTCCGCCTCCGTTCGACGATAACTCGACACGAGATACCCAATTAACGCGCATCGCGTAAAAAAGGCGAAATTTGGCGATGTGAGAGACGAAGAGCTTCCGCGCTCCAGATAACCTTTTCCGTGACGGCTTTCAATTTCTTCTCGACGATCTTTATTATTCTCCTAGTACATGAACTAGTTTCCGTATTCCCAATGCACAGGTAATAGCGAGCGCAAGCGCTTTGGGATATCCTACAGGATGGTTGCAAAACGATTTCAAAACTGCCAAAACTGAGAATCATTATTGCGGGCTTGGCTGATATCAATATTAATATAATTATTATTATTAATTATTATTAGTATTACATTATTATATTTATTACTATTTAGTATTCTTAATTATATTGTTAATTATATTATTATTGCATAAATACATCTCGTCCGTAATGACTCTTAATTTCGATAGTTTGATGTGCTGCCAACTTCAATACATCCAAACTGTTTTGGATGCAACCTACCAAATGTTGCACTTACATATTAGGTCAGTACAACGGATTGCCTATGCATTTCGCTGACAGACGCGTATAGTCTCAGTAAGTCTTGGCAAAATGCTCACTTGGAATGTAAATTTCATAAGAAAGAAAGCGCGCAAATGAGCATTCTAAGGCTTACTGAGATTGAATCCAACTACGCGCGTTTGTCATCGAAACGAATAGGTAATCCGCGATACATAAGTATACAATGTACACGTAAGTACAACATCCTCTACACGTGAAAGAAGGATGAGAGAAATTCAGTAACGGGAGACTTTTGCGCGACTACGTCCTACTTTCCTTTCGACCTCTAATTTTTTTCTTATTTTTTATTATTCTCCTAAGTACATAAAGCAGTTTCCGTTTTTCTGATATATAAATAACAGCGAGCAAGCATCCGCTACGAGATATCCTGTGCGCCGTGTTTCTTTTGGAATTAGTTAAGAGAGGTGAGATAGTTAACGAACTTCTGCTGTAAAAGTAGAAACTCATCTGCAATGCAGTAGCGTGACTTCGGCTCGTAAGAGATATCCTGAGATATCCTGCTCTCTAACCGTATGGAATTACGACGTCAGACGCATAATACACCAATTTTGTTTGCGCCGTGCAGCGAAATGGAATACGGCTGTCTGTCGATCCGTACATTGAGAGGAGAACCATCTCAGGTGCGTTTCGCAAGGTCTGCCTTATATTGGATTGTATAAGTAATTTCGAACAAAAGTAAGTTTATACTTTTATACCGTTATAATTTCATGAATTTAGTGAAATTTCATAACATTAGAAGATAAAAAATCAAAATACGTATTGTTTCATAAAATTGTAACGACATGGAAATACAATTTTAAGTACGTCTGCAGAAAAAGTCTAAATTACACGATCCAAAATGTGAGAGAGGAAAACCGAGCCGTTCCGACACGCATTAATGGAACAAATCTCGTGTAAGCTTCCGTTTCTAAAGTCACGATCCGATGTGGCTGCAACGACGAGGCGAAAGTACCAATTAGATAATTGCGAGTCGTATCGCGTTCACACGATCATTCTACGCCGTCGTGATCGAACGAATTGTCGGGAAGGATATCGCGGTGGAGCACGTAGACATCGAGGATTGCCGATGACTTAAGGGATCACCACGGCGATCTGTGAACGGCGAGGGGAGACGTGAAATGACGGCGAGAGGCCTGGCGGATGTTGGCTTATGGATGCTGCGACTTGAGTGACGAGGTATCTGTCGCGAACTATGTGGAAAGTTCCAACCTTAATTGTATTAGTTGGCTCGCGAAAACGCTCGCGAGAGAGTTAATGAGGCCTCGTTTTCGAACTTCGCGGCGGCCGCGAGTAAACGGCATCCCCGAGAGCGAAGAAATTCCGCGAATCGCGAGGGAAAGGTGAACGTGCACTCTTGCGGTACAAGCTAACGCGAACTCCCGATATTGTTGTTACTTCATTTCAGTGACTGTTAACACTCGGAAATGTTGAAATGTCATTTTGAAGTGACTTTCGGCCGCGGATGACGCCTCGACCCCACGTGAACTTGCTAAACCGCGACGAACTTCGGCGATTAATCCCATAGCGAAAGCTCATCGTTATGCAAATGACAAAATAATCTCATTTATGGTAATCGAAAAAACGAAGTCTTCCCTTCAAATTATGCATGTCGAAGAGACGAGGATCACGGTGGATGAGCACGTTCTTGATCAATTTCGCGAAGCTTCCCCAAGCCGAACGAGCATGACGGTGCGTTATTGTGTAGAAAATCGTGCGAAGTGATTTCAAGGAAAGAAACGTTAAGTTAATTCATCATATGTATAGTTTAGTAATTGAACTATAACTAAGCAGATTTTTACTAGTGCAGCAAAGAAATTGTGTGTGCAAACATTTGTCAAATGGAATCAAGAACCTGTTTCTATTGATCTTATTTTAATTATTGCAACAAATCATTTCGTACTTTGAGCTAATTGAAGTTTGCCAAACAAATGCATTAATTTCACTAAACAAATCATGTTCGATGACTATACTGACGAAAAAATACTTGAAAATCTATTTGTAGGATAAAGATTTGTTTCATACAGAGAAATTCTCGAGTATTTTTTTCTCAGCATAATGAAGAAATATTTTGAATTTACAATGTTTTATTGTATTATTTGAATGGTTATAGAGTAAATATTCCACAAATCTCAATAAATTGTTGTCTTAGCTAACTTTTGTTGCGATCAATTATTACAACTAATTATTCGGCTATAATGAAGTCCGTTAATGTTTTTCTTTATGTTTCCAAATTTTCTTTGATACAACAGTAAAAAGATTAGTTGCACGTATCTAACTATATTTTCCACTAATCGGTAGTACAGAATCGTCTTTGTTGTACTGACAAATTTGTCGTGTTATGACATCAGACTTCATTTTAATCAGACAGGCACAACTACAAATCTCATGTAGTTTTTCGACTTAATTATTATGTAATAGCAAACAGGCTGTCCGTATTTTACAGTTATGATTTGTTGAGCTAGTATGTTTTCCCGTTGTGACAGCAAATCTTTCTTTTTCGTGCAGTTATCGAGAAGAAATTTGCATATCTCTCTTATACTTCGCAAAGACAGGTCCGGACGCGTTCGTTGGATCAGACCCAGATCGCTGATCCAGATCGCTGTTTCAGATAATGTAAAAGAGCCGAGTCGATACACACGCAAATTGGCACATGCCGTTTCGGCCGGAGGTGAGCATCGTCGGCGACACGACAAACAATTCACTGACCTGGTAGAGAACGAACCATCGTAATTGCCACTTAGTGGAGTCGGCTGCCCGCTTGTGCAAATATCCCGTCAGCGAGTGATCATAATGGGCTCTCTCCGACAGCATGACTAGCTGAGCGTCATTTACCCTCACTGCAACACATCGTAAACGCACAGCACTCGTGAATAGGGCAATTAAAACAAGCCGCCTGATTTGGGGCGACAGGCGTCAAGGCGCGAAGAACGCTTGCGCGCGGGCGCGAAACGAATCGCGAAAAACGAATTTCCCTCGAATGTCGCACGTCATAATGTGCAGGAGTACGCGCCGGTGACGTGAATACAATATTTTTTCATGAATTTTAATACAATCGGATTTTCTATTTGAAGAGTATTCCACGGGTGATCTCTCGGAATTAGTCGGATTAGTGCGGCTCTTTGCGGGAACTCGTGCGCGTGAACGGATTTTGTGCGGTATTCAAAACCGTCCGCGCGTATGTGCTTTGAAAACGCGGCAGTAATCGCGTACGAATAGCGAGATCACCTATGCGCCTGCGAATCAAAACGTAAAAGGCGGCCTCGAATCGCTTAGCATTGTATAAGATATACAATGCATTAATTTCACAAAACAAATCATGCTTCGAAGGCTACACCGAAGAAAGAATACTTAAAAATTTATTTGTAGGATATCCTGTATATCTGTGTGGTTATCGTATGACAAAATGCGCCGTGTCGCAATTATGCGTCTACCTGTCAAACGAGAGATTGTCTTGCATCAACTGCTAAATATTGAAATGACAGAAGAGATCAAACCGAGACGAAAAGTCCTTTGTCATTTTTTAGTACGAGCAATATTTAGCAAGATACTAATTAATTAATTTTGATGCTTAACGCTCCCTACAATTCACGGAGCACAGGTAGTGCCGCGCATTATAAAATTGCGAATTCCCGTCTTCTAGACTGGCCACAGACATAATATATCTAGACCGAGTGTTTGCCTTTATTTGAAGAGTGGAGGTAAAGTGCACGTAGAAAAGGATGCATTGTGTTTTGAGACCCTGCGTTCTCTTATTCGCGCATGTGTATGAGCATATGTGTGAGAGAGGTATGATTAAAATTGATGTGCACAATGGTGAAGTGCAACATTTGTTGGAAAGAACATTTGGCCAATTATTCGATTAATTCGATGCAGAAGACATGTGGTTTTCAGCCCCAGGTTCTCTTTCTTTCATTCCTCTCATATAAACACTCACATACACATGCACGAATGAGAGAGAACGCAGGATCTCAAAACACAGTGCATCTTTTTCTAAGTGAATCTCTACCCCCACTCCTCAACGCTCGATCTAGATATATCTATGAGACTATTCTGATCAGTAGGGAGACGTGGGGAGCAGACAGAAGTTCACTTATCGTAACAGTCCAAGGGGCGGGAATTTGCATTTTTCGGCGCGCGGCACTATCTGCAATCCGAGGAATTATAGGGGACGCTAAGCGTCAAAATTGATTAATTAATAACTCGTTAATTATTACTCGTATTAAAAAGTAGCAAATCTTTCGTCTCGATTTGATCTTTTTTACTATCTGCCATTTCGTTACTTGGCAGTTAGTGTGGGACACCCCGTATATTTGCGGGGTTATCGTATGACACACAATGCGCCACGCCGCAATTACGCGTCCACCTGTCTCTCGCTACGCTACCGTTCCAATAATACTGCTCAAAATACCATCGGCTCTTGTTTACCACGGTGTACACGTAGGAATATTAATAATTCGCCGATTATAAGCGCGTTTACGTTCAAACTGCGCGTTCGTTCGTCCGTTCATACGTACGACGAGTCAACGTCGAACAAATTACAGTGCTCCCGCGTAATTAAAAGCGTACCCGTATCGTTTGTGCGGGTAACAATGAGAGCGAGCGAGCGAGCGAGCGAGAGAGAGAGAAAAAGAGAGAGAATTAATGAAATTTTGGGCTCGCGCGAGGGCGTGCTGCGATTTTCCGCGGTCGAATTTACCGCGTAAGCAAATAAATCGCACAGACAAAAAATGGCGCGGTGATTAATCACAACCGACCGCGATTGTTTGATTTGTCAGAGTTAACATTTCTGCAATTGCCAGCGGTACCACCGGCTCGCGCTCCTCCGCGTCTCCATTAGCGAGATTCCGTTCTCAGGTGACGACGGCGCGATTCTCAGCGTAAATGCAATTTGCGTTTAACCGCGGCTTCCGCACGGATGCACAAGTCTGGGGGCCAGCGTGAGCGCACGTGCGACCGATCGAGCGACCGACCGACCGACGGACCTACGTACGACATGACGCAAGAAGCCGCGAACTCGCCAATCTGATGCCCACATCGCATTAGCGACCGCGTCTGCATTGCGTTTGCGATTCACGATTGTCTCTTGAACAATCAGAAAGGAGCTATTGACGGGATTCGCGATTCTAGTTTAGTCCCTATCACACCAGTGATTAGTTTAAAGAGGAGTTGTTGACGGTTACGATAAGTAGACAGACGGCTAAACGCAAATGCAACGCGGACGCAATTGAAATTGGTACGGCCATAATGCCCGTAGGGTGCTTACTTCAGCGCAAAGATACGCGACATTTAAGATTCCGCTCGCGGGAATGAACGAATGCAATTCTCTGCCAAGAACCGACCGCGGAAATCCGCGCAAATCGTGACTCGATGAATAACGAAGCTCTAACGTCGTCGCCGGATTTGAGAGAATTGCGCAGGCGATTATTTACTATTTTATACAAGGGCGAGGGCGGATGAAAAATCTCGTCTCGGCGTTTCGCGCTGGATATTTACCAGCGGACAATGAATTTGTACATGCAAAACGTATACAGTCGCGCAACATTAATGAGGGGAGACAAACTTTGCCACATAAATGTCGTAGTTACAACAACAACGGCAGCATCGAACTTTTCACGAGCGCTCTTTTAATATGGATCCGCGATAATGCACCATTGTTCGTCGAAAAGCGCAGCCTGGTCCTTCCGCACGTCGGCGATTTTACATGCGGACACGCCGCGCGCACGCGCGCCAGCAATAATTAACCGAGTTTCGCATTTGTTCGTCGGTCGCATTGATTAATTAGATGTTGATTAACGCTCGACGCGCACATACACACCACGAAAAGCCCGATAAACTTTTAAATTTATACAAATTGCACCACGTTCGCGGTATTATTCATGTTCGGCGAACGGCCGGCGGCAACGGATTCGCGGAAATAACGAACGCGAGACACAGCGTTAACGTTTGCGAATGCGTTAACGTTATACGGAATAATGCGCGGCGTAATCATACTGCAATAAGAGGATTATCGCGAAATTCTTCCGATTCCGAGAATCCACGCTTATATCGATCGGTGTTTGCATTGTTCGCCAAAGATATCCGGTAACTCATTCTCTTAAAATGAATCAGTGAAACATCACTGAAAACAATGAATGTACTGATTTGCAGTTATAAGTGTTGCACTTTCAGTGCTCAGTGCTATATTTATAACTGATATCAGTGACTATTCACTGTTTCACTTTAAGAGAGCACGGAGGATTCACGGTGTATAGGTAGATTAGGTCAAACTAAACAAAAAATTTCTCTACTGTTTTGTGAACAATCGTAAAATTTTAAGTTATTGATCCAAGAAGATTCGTGAATGATCACGCGCACCATACGACAGAAGAGCTGTGATGGCGACGTTTGCCGTTGTATGCTTGTATATTAGGTCAAACTAGATAAAAAAGATCTTTTTATCATTTTCCAAATGACTACGTAGTCATTCATTTCTAGTCATTAATTAAAAAAAATTATCACACACAATTATGCATCCAACTTCTTTCATTAATAACCAAACATGTACGTGAACATTTGGAAAATGGTAGAGGATTTTTTGTTCAATTTTACTTAATACATATAACAGCAGACGTCGCCATCATTGCTCATCTTCGCATAGCACGTGATCACTCACAAATCTTCTTTTATCCATAACTTAGAATTTTACGTAGTTGTTTGCAAAATGGTAAAGGAATTTTTTGTTCAGTTTGACCTAATTTATCTATACACCGCGACTCCTCTGTAAATTATCAGACATTCTCCCCACACATACACACACACACATACACATGTCTCACCGGTTCTTTGCATCTTGGGACTGAGCATGATCACAAGTCGTTATCAGATGGCCGCCTCCCCCTCGTCTTGATTTTCACAGCGGTGATTGATTGTCCAGATTACCTTGTTTGGGTTCTAACGATGTAATAGAAAACGGCACCTAGCCGGACGATCAAGCGTCCCGTCTCGACCGAGATCGAGGAGATCCGTCGGTGGATGATGATTCGTCGGGATGCGCTGCTGGTGCCGTCGCATCTGCAAACGTGGATAGAAACCCCTTCGATAAATATGCATGCCGCGCTCGCTCACACAAGAACGGAGAATGTGTAAATCTGTATTCGATGAAACAAGCGGGGCGGGAGACGTGTGGCGACCGACAACACATGCAGGAGTTTCCCTGAAAATTGTTAACTTTGTGACGCGACAAATTGCGCCCGCCCCACCCCTTCGCTCATGCCATTTGCGGGACTGTATTTTGGACGCGAGAGTGGATTGTTAGCGTGTACGATAATATATTTATTGACATTTAAAACATATTGATATCCGATTTTGCCCGTGTCCTCCCACCGGTATGTTATATTATCGTGTTCCAGCAAGGGGTAACGCGCGCGGCTACGATAACGTCGATTTATATATAAATCACACGAATCGAAGCGGGAGACCATTAGAGGCTCTGTGACGGGGTAAATATCGTTACCGAGCCAATTCAACGTAAACCATTAACAACACTGGCCTGGACACCGGCACAGTGTTTCCGGCCAATGGACATAAATATGCTAAACGCATCAGCATGGTAACGTCGTTCCATGGCAATTGGATCGAACGCGACGCGCCAAGTCAAAGTTGATTTTCCGGTTGCGCTCGCGTTAATTCAAATTCTCGACATTCAAATTCTCCGCCGCCACCGCCTTTAGCCTTTCACTCCTCGCGTTCGCGTTCCGTTTTATGCTAATTGCTGCACCCTGGATTTTATAACATGCGAGAATTCGTTGATTCGCGAGCTCCTCTCTCGGCGACTCACAAAGACGGACGGACGCACTGAAAGCAGGAAATTGAAACGATGAAGCCGCGCGAGGCCCGCGGAAATGACGTTTTAAGCTGTTTACGATGGAAATCGATATTTCGCCGAGTAATAACTTTCACTGAGAGGTTGCTCCACTGATAGTTGCTTGTCGTTACGATTACTCTTTCTCCCTCTCTCTCTCCCCCTCCCCCCTCTATCTCTCGCTCCCTCTCTCTCTCTCTTTCTTTCTTTCTCTTAGAGCGCGAGCCGATCGCAAACTTCGACACAAAAAGCTGTCAAGTGCAAGATACTTCACTTACATGCAGACCAGTACGACGGTTTACCTATCCTTTTCGCTGGCAGGCGCGCGCTTTCTTTCTTATGAAGTTTACGTTCCAAGTGACGCCTGTCAGCGAAACGTACGGGCAACTCTGTCATACTGTTCTATTCGGAAGTGCAATGCTATGTACGAGCGACGCGCATTGGATCCTCCATACAGAAACATGTCCGGAACGCTTTGAACTGCGTCAAGTGCCGACCGCAAATTAAAGTCTGTATATTATAATGAGTCTAAGTCAATGCACAAAGAGAATCGTAAAGCAACGAAATCATGATTACGCGTGATCAAGCATCTCATTATTTATAAGGTAGTATGAAAGTGTGTATTAAATATTTTATAAGAGAAAGAAGATTAGTGGAGGAATATTTCGTATTTGGTAAATTCTTTTCGTTTGGAAATATCTTATCAAAGTATTTATTTCGCTCTCTCTATTGTATACTGTGTGTTCATTTAGTCATTGCAACAATTGAAGTTACAAACGGCACAGTGCAGAAAAAATAACAAACATTTTTATAAAATATCAACTTAACAAGTTGAATATTTCTACCATAATTTTCTGTAAAATTTCTACTATAATTTTACTGTAAAATATTGTATATACTTATACGTAGAAAAGTACGCCCGATCACGCAAAGTTACGTTAAGACTTCTTTGTACGTTGACCTGAGTTCACTGTTATGGGCTTTCTACAACAAGCCGTTAGTCATCATTCACATTACACATTGGTCGTATAAGTCAGAATTATAAGTCTCATATAAGTCTCATAAGTAATCTCATAAGTCTCTATTAATTTCAGGAAACTTGCATCTACAGTAAATCGTAGTAGATCGTTGCATCACGATATTTCAACCAATCAGAGAGAAGACAGTTTTCAGTCAGCTCTGGTCAGCTGCTCTCAATAAAGATGGCGGACACACTTTTGTTTGGTCAGTCATAAAGTGATCATAACTTTTAAGTCGTAAGAAATGGAATTCGGCCATCTCCATGCAGTCACTGATTATCGACTTGCTATTGCCTTATGATATACCAGTTGACTCATTTACAACTCGCTCGTGACAACTGATCCATTATTAACGGCTCATTGTAGAAAGCCCATTACATACAGACGTCAGTTTATAGTTAGCACTTGCAGTAACTCGTAGCGTTTCTGTGCAGACGCCTTTATGTTCTATCAACTTTGGTTAACTTAACCGGCTGATTATTCCAACGCAATTTATTAATCTCATCTGTCAATTCTAACGAGAAATGCAATTGGTCAATTCAATTGGAATAACTAGCCGGTTAAGTTGACCAAAGTTGGTAGAAACGAGCATTAATCCTCGAGGTATCCGATACGGAGATACGTCGGTATGTCGGAGGGAGCATACCCGGATTCTTTGACTCTCACAAATCGTGTCAACTCGTATCTCACAAATCGTGGGAATAGTTAACTTCTCGTTCTTTCGTAAGTTAGTCTCACTTTGCTCGTGCGCAAACACTAAATCAGGTAAGTAAAAATAAACGGATGAATAAAGGATAAATAAAGAGATAAATATCGGTAAACTCACACATACACACGCGACGGTATTATCATTCTGCGATACCTACGTATCTTTTTTAATACGAATTTGCGACATTTGATAGTTCAGTAGCTCGATAATCTGTTAAGATTAACCAGTACCGTCGCGTTCACGCGATTAAAACGATTAAAATAGAGTTTCAAAGCATTTGTTTACGAGTGGGAATATTTGCGCTGCGATACAATAATTTTTTTATTTAAAACCCGCGAAAGAGAGAGAGAGAGAGAGAGAGAGAGAGTCGTTTGTTACTTCAGAGATTTCCCGATACAACCAGTAATACGATTACAATTTATAGCGATATACACCCACCACACATATTGTTTTAAAAATCCTCCACATTTTCCAATTTTACGATTAATTACACCGTTTTTCCGATTTAACATCCCATATTGCGGTTTCAATTATCGGGAGCCGCCGTTATTGCGTCCGCTCGAAATTACGTGGAAAACGCGACCTCCTCCCATCCGACCCCTCAGAGCTAACACGAGAAATATAGCGAGAAGGGAAGGAATACTACTCGTACGTCTGCATAATTTAAGCCCCTTTTCGTCCTATTCGCGTTAACGCGCGGTTCACGGCTTTTTCCATCGACAGGCCTGCGAAAGGATCGTCGACCTGTTTCGAGACACGGCCAGCAGAAAGGTCAAAAAATTCCCAAGAGTAGTTGGAAAGAGAGAGAGAGAGAGAGAGATAGACGAGAAGATCGCGGGGAGAGTGCGAAAGTGACGCAAGTTCGCCAAACGCGGAAGAGGCTTTCCCTCCGCGTTATCACTTTCTCCCTCTGCTGTCAGCAACTTGTAAAGTTTCTCTCTGACGATAAAGCACCGACCCGCGAAGAAGAAGAAGAAGAAATAGCAGTAGTGAGAGAAGTAGAAGAGAAGCGTAAGAGAGAAAAAAAAAAGAGAGATGGAGGAGGTGGGCGTGAGAAAATTCAGAAGGAAAACGTATCTTTGTGTCACAGTACCTGTTACTCTCGTGTGCGCGTGTGTGTCTCTTTCTCACCCCTTGCGTATCCGCCCTCTCTTTCGGCAGAACTGAGGCCTCCGACGGAAGATCCCGCCTCGCCACCTGTTTGTACGTGCTCTCAAGACCGCATGCTCTCTCTCTCTCTCTCTCTCTCTCTCTCTCTCTCTCTCTCTCTCTCTCT